GGGAGAGAAACAGGCAAATAAAGTCAGACTTCAGAGTAGCTGCAGGATAACCCCAGAACCTTTGAAAGTCAGGCTACTTATTACATTTCTGAATCTAACTTTAGGCAAACTTGGAAATATCAGATTATGTCTTTACCTCAAGAAACAAATTTGAAAGGAACATATCTATACATCAATTATCCATTATGATCATCCTAAGGCCAACTGAATCAGGAATCCATAGAATGCTCTTTCAGGGAAGATCCTGTCTATGCAGGATCAAACTCTGGGATTATATTGTTTCCTTCTATTGCACACTCACAGGAAGAGCAGGGAGACTAGGAGGACTAAACAGATCAAAGCAGGTAGGATGCCCTGCATGCAAAGACCAGGCACAAAGTGTGGCCCTTTAAATTAGAAAACAAGCTAAATATATTTTTATTAAAATGTGAAACTTGGGTATTGTGAAGGGAGCATGTTTTGCTCCCTGCTCAGTTACAGCACCAGAGTACAGTGAGCGACTGGAGGGAGGAAGTAAAGCACCCTGGGGTGTAGGAAGACTGTGTTGTACCTTCTCCCAGGTGTTCTCTTAGATATTCATTCTCCCAGAAGAAACTTTCAGCTTTGCTTGACCACCCCATTACTGAACACCGATCCCTGCCCCCTGTGGCCCCATCCTGCATTGGGATTCTTAGTAAGTTGTTGTGGGGGAGGCAGAGGTGTGCTGACCTGGCCCATGACAACTCATCAAACTCTTTGTGTGGCCCCCCGGCCCAAATAATTGTCCACCCCTGTATTAGGTTATACACACAAATAATAATTTGGCTCCATAAAAAGGCAAAGGGAGAGACAGAAATAAGAGCACTTGTACATAATAATGCATAAATTGTAATAAAAGCCTGGGTGTAAATGAAGTTGCAAATGAACCTGGTTGTCTGTCTTGCAGAAGTAGTTTTTAAAAAAAAATTGATTCTACAAACACTAGATGGAGCTAGATCTTTAATATATGCCTGGGGAAAATGCTAATTAAACCTTGCTCATTTCTCTTGTGGCATTAATGCCAATTCACACAACATATTCAAAGCAAAAGAAAACAAAAATACATTTACCATCTTTTCATCTACTCTGCACCTGCTCATCCTTTATAACTGCAATAAGGCTGTGGTAGGTTATGAATGAAGTAGTAAATTCCTTATGGCTTTGTTTTTACATAGGGTAGATCTGAATTTAAACAACCATCTGTATCTTAAAGAAAAATATAACTTACTAACATGATGGGATCCAGATAAATATGAAAATATTAAGGGAATCAGTGTTCTATCACCTAGGATGTGAATCAACATGTATTAAGGAGGCATTCTCCCATAACACCACTATAAAAATACTAAATGACTTAGTGTTCAGCTTTTGGTCAAAATAAAGAATGCAAAACCACTTACATATTTCAAACCAGCATGATTAAGAAAGAAAGAAAAGGAGAAATAAGAAAACTTCTGAACACAGTTCATTTTTTGTGCAACCCCAGTGTAAACACTTATTCTTAGGTGCTGAAATATAGTAGTCGAAAAACTTGGAAGAAAAGCAGTTTTAGCTCTATACTGCATTTAAATTAAAAATGAATTGCATCTATAAGGTGCATGTTTACAGGGAGTTAATATATTGAGATGTACAAAACTGTGCTCCCTAAACAGTACTGGCAGAAGACTTGTTTTCCAGTTCAACATAGCATCTACCAGATCACAAAAAAGGGCAGCTGAAATGTATGATAGAAAGTATGTCATTTACTTACACATGACCTCAAAATAATTTTAACTTTTAATTTCTCATAGTCTCAGTATTTGAAGAATATTATTTAAAGGAAGAATAGGAACAGTTATGTCTGGCATAATATAGCAAAGAAGTAATGGGTACAATGAAGTAAAAAGAAAGTTAAGTCTCATATCAGCAAACACTGCCTGAGATTGAGATTTATTTCCAACTGATGTATTAGTTGTTCAAAAGACCTCATTACTGACAATACTTATACCTCAAACAGAGGGATGCAGACACCTACAAACCTGACTAACTGTTAAGGAACAATCCTGCAGTGGCATGGGATACCGACTATTAGGCCTTTCCCATATTTAACTTCATAGTTTCACAGTAGCTAGGGTCAGGAGGGACCTGAACAGATCATCTAGCCTGACCCCCTGCCACACGCAGGAATGAATGCTGTGTTCACAAGACCCCAAACCCCAACTTCTATGATACGTACTCACATCATGTGCCAATGAAACACCTGTGTTGCAAAGAGAAGCATCAGACCCTTCCCCTTGTGAAAACATTTCGAAGAGCTTAGGTCTTCAGTGCTCTTCACCCAAATCAAAATCAAAGCTACCTGCCCCTACCTTCTGAGCTGAGGCCGCTCTCTTCTCCTGCTTGGCTTTCATTTCTGCTAGGAGTCCGCTGCCCATCACTTGCACTCCATACCTCCGCCCACCTTGGGGGCTGCCTTTGTTGTCACTCTTTTCGGGCTTTGTGGCATCCTCTGGCTGAGTCTCCTCTAGAGAGTCTGGCGTTTTCAGTTCCTCCACTCGCTCTGCACTGCCGTTCTGTTCGGCTGATTTGAGCTCCTTCTTGGAAATGTCCACAGCTGGGCTTTTGACGATACCCTTAGGTGATGCAGGCTCCTCTGCCACTAAGACAGTTTGAGGACGCTCAGATTTGGATCTTGACTTGATTAAGTTGAGAAAGCCACTTTTCCTAGAATCTCTTTTCTTCTTTTCATCACCTGTTTCACTAGACTCATTGGTGTCGGAACTTTTTACTGATGGTCTCCTAATAAGAGAGAGACATTTTCATCAACTCCTCTTTTAGTAGTTATAATTACTTTTCCCAGGCACAGCTAACATTTTTTGTAATCATTAGCATGTTACCTGAGCACTATCTAATGGTTATAAATTACTGGTCAATTAACTTTCATAATATTAACCAAACTCTATTACAGTTACAAAGAATTATAGGGCTGGCTTTGTGTGTAATGCTACATGGACATGCAACCACATAGGGTGAATATATTTTTTAATCTCAGGGGCACTTATGACCTAATTGCTCCAGACAAGCTATGAGCTGCACCAAGGCTCTAGATTAGCTGCCCTATCTCCCACTCCCTGAACATCCATAAATTCACCTTTTTGAACACTTTTCTCACCTTAGGCCTTTTCTTTCCTGAATCTTGACTAGCATGGCTCTCACCCAAACTTTTGACACAACCCAGCATTGGGGAAATTTCCCCTTTAAGAACTACCCTTCACAACACTCAATGATTTTTTAATCAGCCATGTTCCCTTCTCCATCTAATCATGCAGCTTTTAAGGTGACAAAATATAAACACATCCACTGCTTGCCATGAAAATCTGAAAAAAGCTAATATGCTGCTGTTGTTCATGGAAAGCGATCACTGATGACATTTTATAACAGCAGTTTATAGGTGTGATCCTGTCTGCAAGCAAATAACTGATCCTATGCAATACAAGTAAAAACCCATCTTAGCTGCAGGTCAATATGGCCAAGTGTTTTTTTTATAATGGTTTTTAAACTGACAGCATTTCACAGTTAAATGAATTATGTGCACCACATATGATCTGATGCGTCACCATCAATATTTATCATTCACACTAACATTTAACGTTTTCTCTCCTCCCCAAGCCACTTACCAATTTAAATGTATCATTTACTTAACATTTTGCTTTTAGTTCAGCGATGTCAAATATTGCTAATAAGGTCATTACAGGTAGGATGGAATTAGCTCCAGTATATCTGTTTATATTTGGCTTGTAGGATCATACTAAAAAAATTCAGGGCGTCTTTGTGCTCAGTTCTTTAAAATATACATGTGACTAGCATACCACATAACCAGCTGGGTTTTCTGGCTATGCAAAGCTGTACAAGGCAGACATTTTGGACTGAATCATACACCTCAATAAGGAGTGTTACAATTTTATAAAATTAATATTTAACATATATGTTTGTCAAAAAAGAGAAATCACCTGCCACTTGGCCATAACATTTACAGGACATCACCCTTATCTGCACAGGGCAAAATGCTCAGCTGATGTAAACTGCTGGTCCTAACGAGCTCCACTGAAGGAAACAAGGAAGTCAACTGAACTATAATAAAGTACAGTTGGTAATAATTAGGACTAAAGTGTATATTAAGTGAGGGTAATCAAATCTGCGATAGACTGGACTCTATCCTGCTATGCAAATTTCAGGATCAAGCATTAGGAAAAGTCAAACACAAATGTGTTCCATCCCCACAAACTGTTAATAAGGAATTTTTAATCACAATTTTAACCCATTAGAAGATTTGAACCTACTTTGAATCCATCTTTGTCACTTTCTTAGTGAAAAATTCATCCACACCTTCATCCACTCTACCCATAAGGCCATTCTGTTCTCCTTCATGAGGTACTGTTGCAGTCACCTGATAAAAAACAAATGTTCTCTCACATATAACATACTCAACATAACTGTTTAAATGCTGGCAATTCTGGGTCAGACATCATTGCCAAAGCCAAACATCTGCTGGTATGTCCAATTCAGACATTCTTTCTGACTCTTGAATATGCCGAGAGTAATTAGTGTGAATAGGTCAAAGTATAACGCAACATAACAGCAACGAAAAACCTTACTTTTCAGAGCTGCTGTAAGGCACATGGCTGAACTCAAATGCCTTTAAACAATGCAAGAATAGCAGTTGTCTAGTGTACAGGCACAGTTTTTTGTTTGCACTTATTGAAAACCATTAAGTCCTGATCCATGCATTTACAGTAGACAATTAGAAACAGAATCTTGTTAGCTATGGTTCAGCTGGTTTAGAGGAAAGCCTGTATCCTAGGCCCCTGGCAGATGTTACACTTAAGAAACAACAGCCAGTTAATTACACATTAAATAGTAACCTGCCCACGTGTTCAGGCAATTAATGGTGCTATAAAAAGAGAAATAAGCCACAAAATTATTCCACAAAATGTGTAATAATTTTGTGGCTGGTCTCTATCACACATTAAACTGACCATTTTGCAGGATGTCCACCATGTAGCCTGATGCCAGCTGCATGGCAGGACTTTGGGCTGAGACTCGCAATCATCTGATTGTCATTCTCAGTCCCATGAACACACTGGTTCACCAGGCATCCGACTTTCTACTGGTCATGATCCCAGGCTCCCCTTGTGCTGGCAAGTAGCAATGGTGCAACTGGGATCTGACCCCAATCCCAAAATCATGCTTTCTCCCATGCACATGTAGCATACCATGAGGTGTAACTATTGATTGGGGAACAGAATCCAACCTGCGATTAAGGCTAGGGATAGACATTACACATAAACTGGTTTAAATCTGTAACAGAACAGAAGTTCAGTGCACATAAACCAGTCTGAGAATGCCCGAAACCAGTTTGAGATAAAGCTGGTTGAATGTAGTATCAGACTTAACTGATTTGGCTCAAACCAGTTTATGCAATGTCTGTCCCAGACCCCTTGCTGGTTTAAATTAAATTAGCCTCCCCCAGCACCCTGGCATGCTCTCTGGGCTGGGTGGGGCTCTCTGCTCCACAGAAGGGCTGGCCCCTACCCTCTGCTCCCTGGCTGCAGCTTTGGCAGAGACTTGCAGGCACAGAGCATCTGCCTTCTCCCCCCTCCCCTCCCTGCTAAACAGGCATTCTCCTGTCCCTTGCAAACACCTTTCAGCATTAGCTGGCAGACCACATGCTGGCTACCTCTGAGCTGTGGCACATGAACAAAGGCAGAATCAACATATAGCTGGTGATGTCCCTCTGTTTTCTTAAAGGGGTGATAAACACCAAGTTAGGGGTGATAAACACTCCCTGCTGGACTGTTCGGTGTGGGGGCAGGCCCTCTCTAATCACAGCATCCTGCCAGGGCCTGGCCACACCCCTCAGGTGTGGAAGCGAAGGGAAAGCTGCTCTAGTGCCCCCTGGCTTCTAGCCTGAGCCACTGGAGGGCATGTGCCTGCATTTCTGGGATGTCTGTCTGGTTATAAAACTGATTTAGCCTAGCCAGGTTAGACTAACCTGCAAAGATCGAATCAATTCAGGCTCAGGCTTTTTGAATGTCTGTGCTTAGCCTAAGTGAATATATGCTAGGGACCCTAGGATTAGGGACAGAAGTTACACATAAACTGGTTTAAATGATTGGAAATTGGTTTAAATCTGTAACAGAACAGAAGCTCCATGCACATAAACCAGTTTCAAAATGGCTGAAACTGGTTTAAAGATAGACCTGGTTGAATGTAGTATCAGACTTAACTGATCTGGGTCAGGCTGGTTTATGAAACTTCTGTCCCAGACCCCTTCCTGGTTCAGGTTAAATTAGAGTCTCCAAGCAAGTTTTTCAGCCCTGGACTGGGCTGGGTTGGGCTGTGTTGTGCTCCAGAGAGTGGAGAGGGGCTGGCCCTGCCCCTCTGCTCTCTAGCTGGAGCAGTGAGGGCTGGCTGACAAGGGGGTTGGGGGAGGGAGGGCAAGCCCGGCTGGGGATTGCAGCCCAGTCTGTGCGTGGTGGTGCTGAGGGGGTGGGGGGAGACTGCCCCCTCAGGCAAACCCCTGGGGTCTGGGGCCAGGGAGGGGGGTTAAGCACCCCTTTCCCCACTCTAACTTATTGCTGGGTGCAACTGTAGACTACAAATCCCAGAGGCACCTGTAAACAGGAAGAGGAAGTCATCGGCAACCCTGCAGAGTCCTGCTGCTATAATTCTGGACTACAAATCCCAGAGACCTTGGGGGCAGCAAGAAGAAGAAGTGACCACACAGCCAGAGAGCTGTGCTCTAGCACCCCCAGGCTTCTGGCCTGAGCCACTGCGGACATGTGGCTGCATTTTCTGAATCAAAGGTAAATGTCTATTCACTTCTGTTTCAATTTAATCTCTGCAGTTTAGACTAACCTGCAAAGATTGAATCAATGCAGCCTCAGGCTTTTTGACTGTCTGTACCTAGCATAGAAGCATGAACCCAAAATTAGGAGTCAGAATTCTAGTATGGTAATTCTAATTATGACTGACTTCTGCCTTGCTCAAGTCGCATAGCCCGAATTTCCAAATCAAGTGCCAGAACTATGCATCTAAATGTGCATCTTTCAAAATCTGTCCCCTTTAATCTTTGGGGCACGGTCTATATTTTCAAGGGTGGGTGACTAAAGGTACTTTACTGGTTACACTTGCCTACTTCACAATGGTACTGTGAAGACCAGTTAGTGTTTGTATAACACCATGATGATAAGAGACACTAAATATAGAAGACACTCATATGGACTGGCTTCTGTATACAGCTCCGGCAGTATACAGGAATTCTGGAAAAACTAAACGCCCAGGGAAAAAAATCCTCCAAACTGAAACACCCTGTAAAGCTTCCATAGATGACACTGTACAAACCCCCAGGGCAGCTACATTCTCAGCAGTGCTAATACCCATATGGCAGCCTACTGAGAGTGCAATAGCTTAGATATCCTTCTTACGTGGTCTGAATTGTACTGGATAAAATTCCAACCATCCCTGAATGTACCCAGAATGCATGAAGTTGAACTGGTAGAATAAAGTTACGTTAGATCCCTTTTTATGTTGGACATCCATTTTGTGCTACACCTAAGCAGTCCAGGACAGAATCTCTTTCACAGGTAGAAGAGGATAATTATTGGTAATAGTTACTGTTAACATCCATCCCTTCTTTATTTAAACTGAGGACGATAGCAGTATGAATACGAACTAATATACTGATATATGCATGAAGCTTTATGGTCCGAGTTGCTGAACCTTGTTATAAGCTTCTTCTTCACCTTGTCAAATATCAAAGATGATAACTAGAGCTATTAGTCATGTCTGCTGTTGCACTCTATTACTGATTTGAAAACATAAGCCCTTTGGTAGAAAACCACATGGTCTCCAGTAGAGGTGCACCAGTATATCTGTCCATATTGCATCGGCACCAATAAAAGGAAAATTGACATCATCAGCAATTGACTTTTTTTTGGCTGATGTGGCTGATAACTTTGCAGATAAATGGTGCATGCATGTGCAGAGCATTTGACTGGTAAGTCTGTTGGGATAGAGGGGCATGGAGGGGTGCAGATCAAGGCCCTGTGGTGAGGGGAGCGAGTGAGGCTGGGGCTGGCGCTGCACAGCCAGGGCAGCTTGCGAGATGGAGCTGGTGGTTCATCCATGGGGTGTTGGGGGGCTGCTCCTGCCACTGTGAGCACTCCCAGGTGAAGGCATGGGGGGTATGTATCCCCCCAGATCTGTGTGGGGTGAGAGCAGGCTGCCCGCTGTATGCTCAGGGACGGAGCTGCTCCAACCTCTTCCCAGCAGCTGCGCTTGGGCTGGGTGGGGCAGGCAGTGGCGGCGCTGGGAGTGGGAGCTAAGGTGGGGCTACGGCGAATTTTAGGGTGGCTGTAGCAACCCCCCCCCACAGCTGCCCTCCCAACACCACTGCTGCCCGCCTTACCCAGCCGAAGCCTAGCTGCTGAGAAGAGCCAGGCACAGCCTCTAGCCCTGAGCATGCAGTGACAGCCCACCCTCTCCCCATGCAGAGATCTAGAGGCCACATGACCCCCATAACTCCCCCATGGGTGCACACAGTGGCAGGAGCCACCCCCCTGCACCCATTGCCAGCTCCGTCCTGTACCCTGCCCTGCCCTGGCTGTGCAGTGCCTGTCCCAGTCCCAGCCCCAGCCCCACTCCCTTCCTCACCGCAGGGCCTTGATCTGCCCCCCCCCACACCTCTTCCTTCCCTGAAACCCCTTCCCCCCAATAGACTTACCAGCCAGACACTGCTCTCCAAGCTGCCAGGCTGCATATCAGCAATTGGATCAGTATTGGCCGATATGACTGGTCAATAATCAGCCATCAGTATTGGCGCGCCCCAGTCTCCAGTTAAATGGAATGATTTTGTAACAGAAAAATCTTCCCTGCCCCTTTTCTCCCCCGCCCCCGCCCCCCCAAAGGGGGTACAGTGATGATTTCTGTGGCATCCAAAGCTGTTCTTTTTCTGAGAGAAATGTGTCTAATTGGAAACATCAGAAGATCTGTAACAATATATATATTGACATCTGTTTTAAGTCAACATCAATATTTATTGTCTCTTGATGTAAATATTTACCTCGTCAGTCAAAAAATCTTGATGTTGACATCAACAGAAGTCAGAATCCCATTTAACATTGATGCTGGAGCTCTCCAGAGTGTAAGAACAAATATTTAAGTACCAAAGCCAAGAGTGTTTGCTGAAGGAGGAGGGGAAGTAATGTAAGAAACAATGTAAATCTACTGCAAATGAATCTTTCTGAACCTAGAATAAGAGAATACACTGCATCTGAAAACACTGTAGCTGCAATTCTGCAAAATACTTCAACTGGAGTACACTACAGTAGTAAAAACTCCAGGACCTAATCAAAGTAATCAAGGTAAATAATGTTTCAGATGATGTTTAATACTGGTGGTTGTGTCATATTACTGTAAAAGTTTGATTTCTGTATGTTTTGTACTTTACTCTTCCAATGCTACAAAATTTACATGAAAATTCAACATACATTTCACCCAGGTAGCTGGTCTTAGCTTCACCTGAAAGTTGACTGTTTTTACTTGTTTGCTAAGTAAGACACTGGCCTGAAAGGGAAATAAAATAAATGAATAATCATGGCTTTTCCCATTAGAAATAAAAGGGTTTTTTTTGTTTGTTTGGGACTATATAAGCAAGACAGGAGAAATAGTATAGTATGACTGCTCAAAAATCTGAATGCCAAAACAACTAGGAGGGAAATATTTAAAAAGCTGCTGGTTGTTCTGAACACCTCTTTAATTAAAGTGCTCAAGAATTACTTTAATAAAAGCCTTTTCTCCCCAAAATTAACATTCTGTCTCTTTCAGTTATTCAGTGAAATTGTGCATTCTTTCCCTTTCAATTCTGCCACCGTGTGGCAGGATACTGGGCAAGACGCACCTATGGTCTGACCCAGTAAATGGCAATTCTTATGTTCTTAAGTCTCCAGCATATTCAGGGAGTGTCCCATTCATTGGGTAATAGGTGTTTCAACATGGGGCTCCCTCAAATTTCCTCTTGAAGCTGATCCACTTTGCATAAACTAATTCAATATTCATTGGAGCAGGAACTGGAAACTCAGTCTCCCAGAAGCGTGAGCTAAATATCAGGCTATAAAGGTTTTCCAACTCTCTCTCTCCCCCCAATGTAAATTTAAGAATTTGAACAATGTGGATCAGTTTCCACAGGAGAGCCTGAGAAACACAATATCCTCTCTATTCCAGTGGTTTGGGTGCGCGCCTCGGAAGTGAGACAAGGCAAAGAAAACCTGAATTAGGCAGAGAAGGAATTTGAGCTTAAGTTTTTCCACATTATATTTCAAAATTTTTCCATCAGACTTTTTATATGTCTGAAACTGTTTGCCAAATCTGACCTGAATTCACAAAAATTTGGAAATTGACTGAAACTATTCCTCACTGAATAAATTATTTGCCAAATGCACAGCATGCTCACTCTCCATGCCCTTTTGGTTTTTCTGTTTTTCAGTCACTTTGAACTTTTGCAGAAAAAAAAGCAAACTGTCATATAAACCTGGTTCTACTGTTTTTGTAAATACCATGTTGCTAAGAGGAATAACATTTTATTGTACTTGCATACTCTCAGTTTACAAAATACCATCTATGCTGCTTTTCACATTTCCAGGCCAGTAAGCAATGTGTGGGGGAAAAAAATCTCACATTTTTCTTCTCTTATAGATAGCAGGGTCCTCCAGTTGTGCATAAATACAAGACTTGGATTACAAGATAATGGAACTTGCTTGCAGCCTGAAATCACTGCCTCTTGCTTAGTCTACACCTTGACAGCTGGTGTCTCTTCAATATAACATGACCTCAATTATCTTGATGTTACAGGCTATACTGAGTAAGTTCCAGATGACAGAGAGAAATTTAGTATTTGACAAAAAATAACTTCCAGAAAAATCAAGCCTGTGTTGTACAACAGTTTATGGGCCAACTCCTGCATCTTTCAACCAGTATACATGAATTAGAAAGTAAGCTTTAAAAAAGAAAGAAATGAGAAGAGAAAGGAAACTGCTGGCTGGTGAATCTTTTAGCACTGAGGAATTCTTGAGTGACATCAAATGCTACATAGGCCCTTCCCAGCACAGGAAATATTTTTGGGTTGGCACTTCCACTCTGGTGACTGCGTATCAGCAGGCTCAAAGATCCAAACTGTCACTGGGAAGGATAAATTATCCCAGAGAAGGAATACATATCACTCCATCTCTGCTTCCTCAAGGATTTAGTTTAGGGGTGGTCGGAAAAAGCAGAACTGGTGCAGTTTCCTAAGCAAAAGGAACCATGAAAACTTCTCCCATGTATTTAACTGGGTTTCATGGGAGCTTTCCGTGACACTGCAGAACTTTTATGTTTTGAGGAAGGATGTAGTTTGAAGTGTGAATCTGTGACAAGGAAGATTGGCTGACCCCAGACTGTTGCTTCAGCATAAGGGTTGAGAGCCTACAGAGTAGTTCCAGTGACAGCTGCTAGTCAGGAATTTGTGCTTGTTTACTCAAGATTGATGGGGAGGGGGGAGGGAAGGGGGGGAGGAGAGGAGAGGAAGATTTCAATGTATTCCAGCCCTTGATTTTATTACAAAATGTTGCATTTTTCTTAAAAGCTCCAGATCCTGGACTCAAGTGATTATGCGAGAAAATCAATTTTCCTTTAAAATGCGTTAAACTTTTATTCCAAATAGAAAGAAAGATTTTTGTACCTTAAAAACTAAAAGAATAGAATGCAAATAAAAAGATTTCTTTTTTTAAAATCTCATGATTTTCTAGTTCCCTCATGTGTTTAGGGGACTGTCTCAGGATTTCTGAACCTCTGGTTTCAAGCAAAATTGTGACTCAAACTTTTTTGTTAAAAGCAACCATGGAGCTAGATCCTCAACAACCTTCTAATGGTCACTTACTGATGCTTGGGTGGGTTGCTGTTTTTTGTTCCTTTTTGGCCTTAATTTTGTGAAGTGTTCCAGTTTTCTCCCTTCCTCAGATGGCAGCTCTGAGATGAATCCAGAAGTTCGTTTGTCTGGCCTGCTGGAAGGGAATGGTGGGTCTTCTATATGGATAGGTACTTCTTCCAGTGCTTTGTCTAGGTCAAATTCCATTTCTAAAGAGAAATCAAAACCTTTAAATTAGGCTTTACATGGCATTTTAAAGAGGAGCATAATGGAATGGAATACTTTTGGTCTAGTGATCTCTCTCACTAAAAGTGGTTCATTTATGAGCAGATAGACAACAGCCAATAGATGTTTACTACCGAACACATTGGAGATATATTAGAAACTTCATAAAACAAAGCAAGTTTCTTGGGCCAAAACTGCAGTCCAGAGAGTGTCTTCTGCATTTTCCAATATCAAACAAACTTTTTTACAAACCTAAATATAAGGAAGTGATTTTAATAAATCATAAAATAGGCAAGAAAAAAACCCCCACTTACCAAAAGCTCTAGATACAGGACGGAGCATTCGGCTGTGGATGCTTTTCCTTTTAGATTTAGGAGTCATCTATTAATAAAAGCAGAGATACTTAATTTGACTAGAATAAATCACTGAGAGTCATCCTTGCATTTAAAACCCATGAATCAGTTAA